TAGGGAAAGGAAAAGAGAACATCCCCAACATCACAACAGAGAAACCTTTCTCCAAAGAACAAATTAATGGTCAACAGGTTCCAATGAAAAGCGTTGGTTTTGATAAATATTTTATGGGATTAAAATTTTTCATTTTCTCTACTGTGATTTGATTTATTACTGAATAAACTTTGGGTCAAGATACTGAATATACTCATTAGAACCTGTCCACTCATTTATTAGAGGACAAGTTAGATGGAGGAAGCATAGATATAATCTCACTTCATGTTTTTAATGTTCATTCACCCCTATTAAAAAGTAGTCTTTTTTTTTCCTCCTAATTATGGTTTATATAGCAGACAATATTATAGACATGCAAAATGCAAAACTCTACTTCTCAGGTAGCTCGAGAAACATTCCAGATGACTAATCTTAAGCTCAGAATCAGGATTTACGTTCTCTGGCTAACAATGAAGACTTAGGCATTTAAAATATTTACATTATCCTAACAGCCTTACAGTACAGGCAGCTTTCTCAAACTACTCATTTCAAGCAAACACAGCAAAACTATGCCTCCAAAAAGCCTCTTCTCACCTTAACTACAAAAAGCCAAAAACACCATAACGAAAAAAAAAAAAAAAGAATTACCTACATACAAACAGCATTTATTTCTACCCGGTGTCAAATGCTTAAACAAAAATATAACTAAAGCTCAGCAAAAGCTGTCCCTCCCTCCCACGCCCCAAGACAGCATTACTTTAACAGATGTGTAATTTTGTAATACATCTACAAGGCCTTTCCTCAGGCACATTTAAAGAGTAGGTGTTAAAAAGATATCCTCTTTCACTGTTTCCTTTCACGTTTTGCTTCCAAACGTCTTAAAAGTTACGAAAAGGATAAGTCAAACAGAAAAAACCCTAAACCAAACAAAAAAAACCCAAAAACCCTTTCACTTGACAGGAAAACATGTATCATTTCTCGGGAAAGGATGCAAAAGCATCGATTACCCTACAAGAAAGGCCTATATACATCATGTCCAATTCAAAAGAACTATACCTGTTATAAACAAAACTAGTCATAAAAGTGAACCCACTTATAAAACTGTATGGTAGATTTGTCTGCCTAAACGCAGTATGCAACAACACACAACAAACATGCACTGCTGAAAGTTTGGGCCACAAAGCTCACATAAACAACGTACCTTTACAGGAATATCATCCTCTTGGTTTGCAGTTTCTGCAGTGAAAACATACGATATTTCTTTATGAGATGTTGTCTGCCTGCAAATGGCACATTTAATTGAGCTCCGGCGGGTGCCAACGCTGTACTGTTCTATGATGATAGCTATACACTCGTTACAAAAACAATGTCCGCACGTCAGCACTGCCCACTATGCAGGGAATTAAAAAAAACCAACACAACACAGTATCAGTTTCGGATCAACGCAAAAGAAAAACAGTGTATTAATAAATGATAATTTACATTTTCATAGAAACATCACTTTATTTTCATGAAACTCATCAGATTAAAATTGAAGAATTTTAGAATTTTTAGCACTCCATCTGCTAAAAAGCCTGGATTTCAAAGTTTTCCAGCACAGAAAGATTCATGGTCCACAGAAGTTCTCTGCATTTACTGTTCATTTTTTGCATTTTCCCAGTTTTAAACTTGAAGATATTACAGTCTTTCATTTCTATGAATGATGATTCTTAAACCATAAGTATTTACAACATTTTTAAAAAAAATTACACAGGTGTTTGTCTTGGTCTTCTGTAAAAGTATCTATACATTCATACTAGATCAGTTTTATTAAAAAAGTCCTAAAGAAAGTGCTTTAATTGTTACATATTGTTAAGTCCTAAACAACATTTTTGGATTTAAGAAGAAAGAAGATTTTGAACAGCAAGGGAGAATGCATTAGAAACAAAAGATTGCATTGCAGAAGCTGTCCTTCCTTTGAGGGCCTAGAACATCTACGTGTCAGCTGTGACCTTCCTTAACTGAGAAGTAATTTCTAAACCAATAGTTTTGCACTTAGAAATAGAGTCTTACTCTGTACTATTCTGTTCTATAGGCCATTCTAAGACGGAAAAAAAAAACCCAAACCACAGTTTTCATGGATCCAAGTAGCAGAGGGAATTGACTGAAGAGAAAGATCTTTTAGGCCTTGTAAGATTCTTTCAGTCATGCAGAAATGGGATACAAAGCATTTTAAAAGTTCCTTGCAACATGAGGCTACTATCATCTCAAGTGGCAGTCTGAGCCAAAGTTAAATAAAAGATTATTTTTCCTTTCAGTGAGCTCCTCCAGCTCAGAGATGAAGCATAATGACAGTTAACAGGGCAAACAACTGTTCTGTGTAAAAACCTGTATCACCCTTGGAAGAAGAGCGCAGAGGGGATTTTGGAAACATGGCAGGACAGCGGTTCATGCTTACACATGTCTATAAAGCTAACAGAAGCTAAAACATCTTAAAATAGCTACCCTAAAAAAAGAGCCAATTCAGCCTGACTGTACAGCAGCCCTTTCATGTTTTACCTAATGCGTGGTAAATAAACTATGGCTTTGCACCTTATGATATAGATCAGTTTTGATTAAATCTCACTTAAATTTCAACTCCTGCAGTTCAGGAGGTAAGTGGTGGGGAAAGAAATCCTGAGTGCCAGTCTTTATTCTATTTTTTTTCACTACTGTTTAAGTAGCTAATGTCCATTTCTTTAAAGTCTAGAAGAAAAAAATACTATCAATAAGAGCAGTTACAGTAAAATACAATAGTACACTACAGAAGTTTACCTATTTCTTCATTCTACGAGTTTATAAATGGCAAAGACATTTTGCTGACAGAAGTATGAAAGCACAACTTCTGTTCTAAAACAATCAGCAGCACACATTTTTGGAAGACTTCTGTCAAAACACTTAAGCATTGATGTCAACAGCTAAAGCCAGTAGAGGTGCTTGCAACTGAGCAAGATGTTATTTCAGGGGAGAGGCTGGGTGGTACTTTACAGGAAAGGGCTTATTTCCCCTGTTTCAATACAATGTTCATTTAAAATCAGATGTTGAAAATTGAACACACAACTGACTCGGATCTAGGTAAAGACATTCTAAAAAGAAAAACCTGCTGACTAAATATCTTACCTGTTTTCCCAGTTGACGTGCACAGATTGGACATGGTTCTGGGTTAACTCCCCCGGTAGTTTTATCCTGAGACTGTAAAGTAGAAAAAAAAAAATAAACTTTGTGTTTCAACAAATAAAAAGTTATTCCATATTTAAAACAAGCTTCTAGAAAAAATGAATGAAGTCCTTAAAAAAAGTGTGTGAACAAATTAAAAAACATCATTCATGATTAAGTAAGTCTGTCTTGAGGAAGTTAAAAAAATATGTAATTTATGGTAAGTAAAAGGAGCACTGTTCATACTGCAGTCCAGATAGCACCTGCATCTCTACTACAGCTTTGAAAAATCCTGCTAAAATACAAGCTTCAAACAAGAAGCTCCTCGTATTTTCTATCAGCTTTACGTTGTTCTAAAAGCACTTAAAATATACTTGATCATGCTTAACTATGCTTACTTAAGCATAATTGTACTTACTTGAACACTATGATTAAAATAATGTAACACACATGAGGTTTGTCTGGTTTTATTTGTTTTGGTTTGGGTTTTGTGGGGTTTTTTTGTTTGTTTGGTTTTGGGTTTTTTTTTACCACTTATTTAAGCTACAGACCTGCTTGTCCTTCTGTTAAGAAGGTAAGCTATTTGTAAAATAGCAAGGGTACATGAAGAGGTACATAATTTTACAAGGGTTCTACTAAACATGGCCCAGTTGGATATAATGAAAGTTTTAACCACCTGAAACTACATCATTTTATAACTGTGTAATTAAGCAAACCGCCAAAATATATAACATAATAACCTTATGAGTATGCAATAACAGAAAGAGCAACACACTGTATTCCAACATGCAATAGAAAATACATTTTCTTAAAAATGTAAGTTTTAAATAAAAATAATGGTAGGTTTCTTCTATTAGGTAAACAGAGTACATCACTTTGGTAAAGACCAAGGAACTGTAAACCTTACTTTCTCCAGATTAGTGAGATACAGAAGTTGTCCTAATTTCTTTTGAAGCTGTGATTTGGCAACTGCCTTGTCATTCAAAAGTTTCACTCGATTTTGCTCTACCTATGGAAACAGTATTAAACACGTATTAAAAAAAGAAAAAAAAATAGTTAAGTTTTACAATGAGGCTTAAATTCATTTTTTGGCAGAATTCAACTGAATAATTTACTGGAGATAGATAGAAGAACAGCTCATTCTGTAAATTTAAGATGCGCTTCTCCCCAAGCAAAATTGATTATCTGTTCCTTTCCTGTACCCAGTATGAACATAGTACTGTGAATGGGCTGAGACCCAGGAGGTATACAAACTTGCTCTTTGTTGTTCTATTTGCATTATTGGTTCTTTCCAGAGACAAAACCAACTTAATTTTTTAAAAGTTTCTTTCCAATCTCATTCAATTTATCATGTTTTCTTACAGACAAATACATCCTAGACTCTACTGCTGGTTCCAAAAACAATGTCTAAGAAACAACTAATTACTTTCTTTATACTTCTTAGAAGCTTTCACTTTTCATTTAACCTATACAAAGATAGAAACATTAAGCTGACTCCTTTTTAGATTAATTAGTTAGTAGTGGTGTAGCTATTAATACTGCAGTAGAAGCAAGCACCCAAAGTATGAAGGCCAAGGTAATGGGTCTTTTATTGTTGGAAACACATACATAAATCTTAGACTTTGCTAAATATTTGTTAAGCGAAGTGCTCCATTATAAAAATTGCTTTAACACACAGATGAAATATCTATTCCCCTACAGAAAGAAAAGAAGCACTTTTATCTAATACTGAATCTCACTGAAAAAAAGCACAAAATGTTTCTATGGAAAACATATTGCTATTGGTGAAAAAAACCCCAAAACCTAAGATGTTAAATCAACCCAGCATTTTCTCTATGTTCATGAACAGAAAGTGTCTCAGAGGTAGCTCAGAAATTCCAAGACATGAAAAAAGATTTGTCCTTCAGGTTTTCACTCCTTTTTTTTTTTATGTCCTTGTGGAAAGTAGCAACATGGGTGAGAAATCAGGTCAACTTAATTTTCCACCAGCTTGAAAACTGGACAATTGTAGAGAAAGGTCCCAGAGCCATTCACCTGCTGCTGGAAGGACAGCAGTCTTTTGGAAACACGCCACTCTTACAGTCAGAAGGCTGACAAAAATATATCAAAATAAGAGTTACAAGCTCAAAAAGGCCCATACACTGAATGTAGAAATAGATAGGAACTCTTTACTCCACCAAAGCTTTCTGAAATGGAAACAGAGGCATATTATAGACCTTATACACAGACCTAAATACAGATTTTATTTTTGTAGGAGGTAGGTTCTTTCAGAAAAACAAACAAACAAACAAACATTTCTTTCCTGACAAGTACTTTACCTCATGCGGTTCTATGATGTGGAGAACTGGTGGATTTGGTTTTGGCTCATCAGGATGACGCACTCTCAGCCGTTCTGTAGCCATTGCCAGTTCATCAATAGCAGACACGTGATCCCTTAGTACCATCCAATATTCATGAAGTAACTGTAAGAAAAGCCTAAACAAATCAGTAACAGAACTGAGTTGAGTTCCCTTTATATGACTCTGCCATACAATGTATAATGTGAAAATCTTTTCAAGTAAGGGATAATATTTCTTTACAGTAATTCGGCCACAACAACAACAAATTATGAAGGAAAACAAACAGTATAGACATCATTTTGCTTGCTTTCTTTCCCAGCCTCTCTTTATGAACAACAATAAACAACTGCGTCTCATTTCTTCTACAACTATTACTGTTACAATAACTAATGCAACTACAAGTTCGGAAACAAAATGCCTTGCAAGACTAAGCAAATGCTGAATAAAATAAGGAAAAATGATTAAGCAATTTTAACCAGCTAGCTATTATAGTACTAAGACTGCTTCTGAAAGATGAAGTACGTTTAAAGAAATGTTAACAGTTTGAGTGGTCTTGATAAAAGCACAGACGAGCACAAGGTGAAGATAACATCAGATTCAGTTCTCTGAAGAAAAAAGTAAATTCTGGCTTTCTACAAAACAAACGGCTACAACGGGAAGTATACTATACATATAAACTGACATTTTAAAATTACTGACAATACTGTAAAATACTTCTTCCCAAGCTTTCCATTTTTACGTATTTTATAAAAAAAAATCTTCAGTGATCTTACTGAAATTCTAAGACCTTTTGCAAATGCCAAAAATTGCTATTTGTTGATTTCTGATTTTTCAATTGTAAAAATATTTCTAAACACTCAGTTGCAGGGGGTGTGATGGCTGGTTGTTTGAGGTTTTTCTTTTAGATCAAGAAAAACTTGTTTTGAGCTATGCCTAGATTACAAACAAAATTACTGTGGATTAAACCTGTCATACAGGGTAAGGACAGAGAATAAGCTGAAAGGAGCTTACTCCCCCAAAACTAAAGAAACTAAATTACATTAGGGGAAATTAAGCTAAAATTACATTTCCTTAAAAAAAAAAAAAAAAAAAAATGAGCTTGTTGTTTTAGATTTAAGAGTTATTTTACAGAGTATCATCCCTGTAGCTCAATGTAGGTTACAGTAGTACAGACAATTGAATCAGTATTTCCAACTCACGACAGATGGAATCCTAATAGTACTATTTTCATTCTCATTGGTGAATCAGTCCCACCTTTTGTTTCCTAAAGTAAAAGGACATGAAGAGACTGTGTTCCCTTCTTGCAGCAGAAAATCCCCAACACGTAGCAATGCCTTGGTAACTAGTTACCTTATGTCGTCCTCCTTTTGTGAACCGCTACAAGCCAAGGACATAAAATAATGACGCGTGAGGACAGCTGGGGTCGTTATTCTCCAGTCAGCATTTTGGCACCATAAGCAAGTGACCCGACTTTGTGAGAACACCACAACTTTATTAGGTGTTTAATAACTTTAACTATCAGATACCTAAATGCTGATTAAGATGTCATTTTGTTTAAAAAGGTTTTCCACTGTGTTACACTGTAACCTAGTGGTTTAAGGCAACTCCAGATTAAGTCTCACTCCTAAGTAATGCCACCAATTTGGGGCAAGTAGGTGATCAGTACCCAAGTTTGCTGAAAAACAAAGACAGTCTGAATTCCATTAGTTAATCTAAGATACATAAAGTAAATCACTCTCTAGAGTATCTTTTCTTCTACGGACTAAAGCTAATAACAAATGTTTAAATTCTGGGATAGCATACTCCTGCAAGAAGTATCTTTGCTTTTTCAAAACCTCTTAGGAAAGAGCAAGTTAAGTGACAATTTCCTAGAATCATGAAACAGAAGGCCTGAGAGAAAGATCAAGGTGAAAAATCTGTCAAGGAACAGGAATTTCCTCTCATGTCAGACCACAAAAAAAGAAAAAGTGTATGAAAGAGTCAATAAGCCTGACACAAGTGTACCAAGTGTGTTCTACTGAAGCCTAAGTCTGTGTTAATCAAAAATGAGGAGAAGCATTCAAGAGAAAACACTTTTGATTACACCTAAGCTGTAAGACAGGATGAGACCCTTGTGTGCAACAGCTCTTCCCCCTTCTCCATTCCCGGTATGTATTCACTGCAAGGAAACACAGGTGCATGAAGAAAGCCATAGTATACTCCTGTAGTTCTCTCTGATCCAAACAACAGGAGACTAATTATTTCAGGTTACGTTGTCTAGTAAACAAGATCCAGGAAATAAAGCAATAATCAAAAGACATCTGTAGCTAGCACAAGACTGAAGGTAAACTGCATTACAGAATGGACCAACATTGGATTTGCTGAGTCTTGGTACATTCTGATTTAACTAAACAGATGAACACATTTAATTATATCTGCATGCTGTCTTAATAGATGCAACTACATTGCTTATTAATTTGCTTAGTAGCCAGAATAGCTTTTAGAAACTCCTAAATCATATACAAACCATTTTAAATCAAATCCTGTAAGAAGCACTGTGAAAAGGCTTTGTGTAGGCAAACCCTAATTTCAGGACTACAACTTAGATTTGCTCATATTGAGCCTGAATTTGTTTATATTACATTAAACAGACTACACAACTGTTTTGTCACCATCTCATTTACTGTACCTTATATTCCTTTTTCCATGCTTCAAAGAGTTCCAGAAATATGCTGCCCTCTTCGGTTAGCTTAACATCCATTCGGTGAGCTTTGGCAAAGGAGAGAATAGCTTTCAAGGCACGTTCAGTTTCACTGGTTGCCCACAGTCCTCTACTTGTGGTGGGCAAACGGTCATCAACAAGCCCTTCTTCATCTTCTATCATCTCCTCAAATATTGCCATTTGGCCTTTAACACTTAAAAATAAACCCAACACAATACTTATCACCGATTTTGTACTTCCACATCCATTTCTACTTACTCACCATGTATTTCAGCCTTCTAATATTTGATTAAAGGATAAAGCAAACCAAACAAATATAAACAGCTGTTTTATTACTTGATATCCCAAATGCTTGCTTTGAGCACAGTGACCTCAGTACCAGCAATGAAATCACCACACAGGCCATTTTGTTAGCTCAAAATCATCAACAGCTTTTGTAAAGGCTTACGCATCTTAATTATCGTTCAGTAGTTATTAATGATTAATGTCACATTCATTTAAAAAGTTTGCAATTCTGACTTCTTAAATCAGCAGAAGTTGCAGTTACACTCTGACGCAAAACTTGCTGTGTATTGCACTACTTAAGAACACTACAGCTTCTCAGTTCCCTCCTTGACAAACAATGCTAATTCAGAAGCACAGTAATCATTAGGTAATAGAGCTCCCACTGGTAAAGACTTTTCAAAATGTTTTCTCAGTGACCTCAAGATTTTTGAATCCCGTTTTGACACTGTGAGGGATATGAGAGATAAAAGTCAAAGAGAAAGCATGCAGAGGGCTGTAATATATGCCTCTCAGTACTGTCCACTATGCACACTTCTCTCACACCACATGCTGCTGCAACCTTTCTTTCAGCTCACAGCTGCATTCATGTCTGAAATCTCCTTTCTCATTGTGGCTTTAGTCAAATTTTGTTTGTTATGAAACAGGGGTATACATTTAATTAGCACTCTTGTATTTATACACACACTGTCTGAATACTTCAAGACTTCATTACAAATATATGGTCATATTATAGCAGCTTGAGAAAAAGTGGCATGTATTCATTCCTTGTACACAACTTTTTCAAATGAAATTTAGACAGAAAATTAAACTTGATCAGTAAAATTGCTATCAAGGCCACGAGAAAGAAGTTGCTGTAATTTGTTCATAAAGTTATTTTAGAAAACTTTAAGTAGAAATTATAAAACAATCCAACTTTCACTTTTTTAATAGTGAGTTTATAGAGCTATGAACTTACGTATGAGAGAAGAGCTTTGATTCGTATTCTGTGAACAGCTCATCAGCCTTACAAAAGACACAGCTGCAATACAGAAAATTGAAAACAAGCACTCAGCATTTCATCAGAAACCAGAGTAATTCCTGTAATTCCCTATTCCAACATATAAACCCACACAAAGTCCTTAAAAAAGAACAATTTAACAGTCTTATGTACACTCAATATAATAATTGACAGGAAAAGATTTTATAACAATAAACCCAAAGTAAGGTCATGATTCTAACAAAATGGATCTGTGATATCTGTGTGTATGCAAACCCTGAGTACAAAATAAAGACTTTAATATCTTCTTACTTCAAATGAAGGAAAATTTAATAATACACCTCTAAAGTATATTTTCTATTTTCAAGACATACTTGTTAAGTGGAAGTCTAACAGGTCGCAAATGGCAGATAGTGGCAGCCTCAATAACCTGCTTAGAGGGAGGGCCTTCTAAGTTTTTCACTGCTTCTCTTACAATCTTCTGGAACTTCTTCACTTCCTCCAGCTGGGTTGTGAGCAGGTATTGAAGGCCTCTGCAGTCACGGAATCTGATTTAAAGAAAAAGGGAACCGATTGCACACTGAGGCAGCGAATCCAAACTCATTTTGGAGTAGAAGAGAAATAGCTCAATAGCAATATAGGACAACATATGAAGTTCATATCATAAGCAAATGCTTATTACTACTACATGTAATGCTAACTGTTAGAAATCATTCCATTGTATCCCCTGAGATGACGCCTGGTATTTGTGGAATAGAAAGACTCTTTCCAAGACTTGAGAGATGCGACCAAATATTAGTAGTCAACACCAACCTGCAACATTCTGGTCCACAACGCAAATCTACCAAAGGTAAACAACTGCACATACTCTAGTCTTATTTGCATCTCTTGGCCAACAAACTGATTTTCAATGCACCTGTGCAATTCAGAGCAGACACATGCACCCATCACAAAAATATACTGCATTTTGTAAGTTAGCTGTCAAAATTAACATTACTGAATAGACATGACCATGAACTATTTTCCTAAAACTTAGCTATCTTTCATGATTGGAGTGGGAACATGAACACCAGTTAAGTACTTCCCATATTGTGTTCCTGCTGTGAGCAGAGGTCTCTTGCTTGAGAGTGCACCATTCACACAAGGTCTGGCATTCATATACAAGACAGTGTATTACAAGACTGTGGTTCTAACCCATATTGAAAGTTTAATCCAAAACATACCTTTTGTAAAGTGTAGAGAGAAAAGCACAGGTTTAACAACACTAATAAAGTTTGGCCTTTAAAATGACCTACTTAAGCAATATGTATTTTAAAATAAAATAGACTAGTTTACCTAACCAGTAGTCTGAAAATACATGTAAATTGCATGTAAATCACAAGTCTGTTGTTAACAGTATCAGTTGCCAAATATTCCAGGTTTAGGAAAATCTCCCACACTACACCCTGGATTAACCATCTCTAATAGTCAACTAGAGATTAGCACTTGTTGCTTCCACCACTGACCAGTAATACTTCATAAGACACTGTTTTTTACGTTTTATTGCATATGCTAAAATAAATTTAAAAGGAATTAAGTTTTATCCCTATTTTATAAAAGAAACAGTTGAGTTGCACATAGCTTGTCCAAAGTTATACAACCTGTAAGCAGCAACAATTTAAAAAGAAACTTCCTAAACAGCTGATTTCAAGTGAGGAAAAAAAAAATCAAGTTTTTGCCACTATGACACAGGCAAGCATACAGATAGATGCATAGGCATATGAGATCAGCGTGAACATGCAAACAATCCTTTCCTCAAATTTATTTTGACCAGAATGAGATGCCATCATTTTCAAATAACACTTAACCATGAAATGTTCATATCACCGACTCACAGACTGGTTGAAGTTGGACAGGACCTCTGGAGGTTGTCTTGTCCAACCCTTCTGCTGAAGCAGTGTCACCTAGAGCTGGTTTCCCAGGACCATGCCCAGATGGCTTTTGAGTATCTCCGAGGATGGAGACTCCACAACCTCTCTGGGCAGCCTGTGCAAGTGCTCAGTCACCCTCACAGTAAAAAAGCATTTTCTGATGTTAAGAGGGAACCACCCGTGTTTCAGTTTGTACCCACTGCCTCTTGTGCTGTCACTGACCATCACTAAAAAAAGCCTGGTTCCATCTTTTTTGCACCCTCCCTTTAGGTATTTATATACATTGAGAAGAATCCCACCTGAGCAGTCCCAGCTCTCTCAACCTCTCCTTGATGCTCCAGTCCTTTCATCACCTTCTTGGCCCTTTGTTGGACTCTCTCCAGTATGTCCATCTCTCTCTTGTACCAGAGAGCCCAGAACTGGACACAGAGTACTCCAGGTGTGGCCTCACCAGCGCTGAGTAGACAGAAAGGATCACCTCCCTCAACCTGCTGGCAATACTTTGTCTAATGCAGTCCAGGACACCATTAGCCTTCTTTGCCACAAGGGCACATTGCTAGCTCATGGTCAACTTGGTGTCCACCAGAACCCCCAAGGTCCTTTTCTGCAAAGCTACTTTCCAGCTGGGTGACCCCAATATCCATTTTGAAGACAGAGAATTCCTTCTTCCTTCTCAGCATAATTCTGAGTTTTGAAGAAAGAAAAGGTAAAGTTTTGTGTCTTTATTTAGATTATTCAATAGAATTATGTTAAGTACTGAAAAGTAAAAGATATGCTTACTTCCAGCAAGGGCAAGGAATTGCCACCTTTTGGTATCATGATAACAGAGTAGTCATACTGGAGGATATGTCTTTAAATATTTAATTAAAACCTGTGCATATTTTAAGTATTTAAATTTATACACACATACACATTTTATATACACAGATATTTATATACATATGTACACACATTTATATACACCTATTTTTAGATGTATTTATATATATATATAAAAAATAAAAAAAAAATTATGTTTTTAATTAAAACATGATTCAGGAAGACTGTATTTAAGAGCACAAGGATTGCTCAAGTAGCTGAGAAAACTGCCTGAAGTTAAACTGTGAGAGCACTCTGCTTCCTATGTCTCCCTTTTCTGTGATGAACTTACAGAGCTGGAGCACAGAACGTACAACATGAAGCTAGGACAAAAGGGTTTATTCAGCCTTAAAATGAGATTGCTCAGGGAAGACCTTATTGCTTTCTGCATCTAAATGGAAGGTACAGTGAAGACTGAGCCAAACTTTTCTCAAAGATGCATGGTGAAAGGACAAGAGACAACGGACACAAGATGCAACATAGGAAATATTAACTAGATAGAAGGATTTTTAATTTTTTTTTTCCACCAAGTGGGTCAAATACTAAAACAGGCTTCACACAGAGGCTATGAAATCTCCCTCCTTGGAGATACCCTAAACACAACAGGACAAATCCCTGTGCCACCTGATGGGGCTGAATCTCTGAGCATGGATCTATAAGCTGGGGGTTGGTCTAGGTGACCTCCAGATGTCCCCTCCATACCATTATTCTGTAATTGCACACAACAACAGTGGTACTGTTTTTAACATGAAACCAAACCAAAATTCTTTGCTCAGAAAAACTGGGATGTTATTTTATGCTGTTATACGAGGATTTTCTGATATCGTCTATCTACTTTCCATTTAAGCAAGTCAGTTTCTTTTAGAAGTTACTCAATTTTAATGCAATAAACTTTGAATCTTTCTTGCTCAGAAGTTTCACAAGTACAGAAGACTGTAAAACCACAGTAGATAATACAAAGGAACCTTTAAAAGCATGCTTGTCTAGGAGAAAACTGTAATTCTCCTGTTTTTCTTTCTAAGTGTTCTGTCTAGTTACACTTTTTGGGGGACTGTTTTTTAAATTTAATTGCAGCCCAGATGGTCTGATGCAAAAATGCCTGCTATTTAATTGCAACTGTTAGCACAAACTGATAAGAGGACTTGAGCAGACTTAACTGTATTCATTAACCTATTTTAGATATTCTCTTACTTCTCTGCCATGGAGAGCTTATTAATCTGCTGTTTGTAGTTGCTGGTTATTTCATTTTGCACACGTTGAACAAGCTCCTCATCGATGGCATACTGTATTGCTGTCTGGATGACATCCAACCACCAAGGAGAACCTGAATGTATCTGTACGCAAAAGAAGAGATTTATCCATGAACATTCAACAAACAACGAATTTACTCATTGCAGCAGAGGCTTATACTGCTCTCTAGGCCACGCTCAAACACAGACTGGTAAATTCCACGTAAAGTAGGAAGATGAGAGTATGCTTAAAAAATATCCCCTTTCCTGTTTAAGTGAATATACGATTAAGAAATTTTCTACATTCCCATCTACTTCCACACCTTCAAATTGCTTCAATAGAGTTAGATTCACCAAGGCCATCTACACAGAATAGCCACATAGAAATACTGTAATCTTGACATTTCCTTTTTCTCTCTCTCTCTCAGAGATGAAAGGATCACTTAATTAGAGAAAGTAAGCTCTCTGTGAAATTAATAAAGAGCAACACTGAAGTGACCTCGTAATTTTAAATGGTGAAAGAAGATGCAGAAGTTTACTTCCTCATGTGCCGTTTGCCCCCATTTCTTTACTATTACACAAACGACAAGCGGCATTTCAACTCAGGTGTTCATCAGTTCATTAAGGGCTTGCACCTTCCCATGAAACCTGAATTGTCATATCGACTAAACACAATTAAGCCTTAAGCACAATGACCAAATGCCTGTCAAAGAACCGTTCCTTTGAGAGTAACTGAAATACCATCTGATACACCACAGAAATGTTTCAAAGCAAAAACCTATAACTTATTTACCTAAATTACAAGTGAAACACAGTTAATATAAAAATCAAGCATGGTGTTAAATTTTACTGGAATCATCCCATCATGTACTTGTGGTTTTAGTCATTTGTTCATCAAGTACTGTGTGCCTCTTTATGCGAGGAACACAGGATACGTTTGGGGGGATCTCTGCATGTGTGCACACATGCACACTGACAAAGTCCCATTCCAAACAGGCTTTCAAAGAACCTGTAGAGATGATAAAACAGATGGAGTTCTGGATAAACACATGAAAATAATATTAAAAAAAAATCTCAAAATTCAGAGACAAATATTTAAGAGGTACCTGCCTTTCTCTGGAGCTCCCGAATGGTCTGAAGAACTGGCTGTAAAGCCTGATGGGCTTCTGCAACTTCTGCATTGGACTTACTCATATAATGCTGTCGAAGTTGTTCTGCCTGTATGGAAATGAGAGCTTAAGTTATGCACAACTCATTTACAAGGAATAATTGAAAATGCAAAAACTCCTCAGCTACCATAGTGTTTTAAAATGGTTCGCTACCTGTGTGCTACCCACATTCATCTGTTAGCAATATTTAGCATTAATTTTTTCCTCTAAAATCTAGCATTTATTAGTAAGCCCAAAAAACATTTGGGAAGACAAACTACTACAAAGATGCTAACTGTGCAATTTTGCTTTTGGACAAGCCCGAACAACACAACAGGATTACGCTGCATTACAAAAATGAACTAGAATTTAACTCATAATTCTTACTTCTCTGTACATTTAAATATATTTTGTTGAACAAGTAAACAATAAAAAGATCCTAGAACAATCTGAAAACAAGATAATTTAACTTACTTACATATAAAACTTACCCATAAAATAACAAGAAAGGTTTAAATTTCATTATTTTTAGGTGCATCAGATGTAACTTTACAATAAAAATTACTTCTGACAGTGAAAACCCCTCTTGGTATGCAGGTGTCTCCACAATATAATCAGTACCAGTTTACTTGATATTTTAAAAACTGATGAACAAATAACATATTTCTTGCAAGTAACGTACACATACATGTGTCTTTCACCATTACATTCTGATTTCACTAGGTATCTTTATTTTGTGCATTTTAGGCTGTGTTTAAGTCTTCCTTCTTTTTGTTTGCTACTATCAAGATAATTATATTATTGTTACAGATGGAGCTCAGTTTATCAGGAGTGGACAGGACTCTCAGGTATTTGGATGAGCTACTGGCAAAAGATAGCTATGAAAAACAATCCCTGCTTCACATTTATAAGCAAAATACAAATTTACCGATCCCCCTCCTCTTTACAATAATGTCAGGAGAAGGGGATATAAAAAAATTGCTCAAGTTACAGGTCAATAAAAAAAAAAGGGCAGTATTTCTATAAAGGCTGGTAGAAACTCCTTTAAATATTTAAGAGAACATGTCTCATTAAAACAGAAAAAAATGCTATCTCTGCAAGGAACTTGCATAAAAATGATAAAATATCACAAGATATCCAAATAATAAGACAGATACTGATCACCACCACATAACTGTAGAGGCTGAAAGAACTGGGATTGTCCAGCTTGGAGAAGAAAGGCTTAGAGGGTACAAAATAGCAGCCTTGCGACAGCCAAGGTCCTTTCCAACCCAAACAATACCACAATAATGATGTTCTTTTGCAAACGTGGTCCATATGTCCGCTACAAGTAACCAGTGGGGAACAGTGATCCCAGCTATCTTACCAGATATTTCCCCAGTTAAGATTAAGGATATAGTTAAACAGGCTCATGCACACAGGAAGTAACATGCAGCGACTTGCTTCTCTGGCCAAAGATGGGCAACCTTTCTAGATGCTTAGGCAGTACAAGAGTGACAGGGATGAACCAGTTGCTGTAGGGCATGTGAGTACAATATAAGTAACACAGGGAGAGCCTGGACAGACGCCACTAGCAAACTTTAGGCTATGAAGGCGGCCGCAAATCAGGACCTTCTCAAGAAGGTTTCAAAGAAGATATTACCAGTACCACACACGGGACCAAAGAGAGACGTAGAAAAACAGCTTCAAGACATGACTGAGAAGATGCATTAGACAGTAGTAGCTTATATTTACCAGGAGATGGGGAAGTGTTTTGGAATGGAGGGCACCTATGCAAGAAAAATAAACTTCACCGAGAGAAGACCCTGACTATCTGCAGTTAAAATGAGAAAAGCTAAAGATAATGTGAGAAAATAAAGGACTCAAAAGAATTCAGGATGATGCATTCTTTATCAGTAACATCTATGTAAGTTATTTCCCCAAGAACGTTGTGGAGGTGGGGAAATCACATTTTAGAGATAAAAATTATTAAAATACACTCACAACATAACAGAGATCATCAAGCATTCACAACAGCACCATTTTACTGGACATTTCTCCTCTATCTCACACACTAAACAACTCTTGATTTTACTAACCTGAAAGGAAATGTATGTAGTTAACTTGAAAGCTATTTAATGTTATTTCTTTAGTTTGAGAAAATATGGAAGGATTAAAAAAAAAAGGTGCTCTTGAAAATGCATTTATATAAAAAGGAACAACGTTTACCTCTTCTGCAAGTCGGCTGTCACGCAGAGTTGGGGGAATTCCTGGGTGCTTTGCCAACAACAATTCCATCAAATTGTGTGTAGAATGAAGTCTCTAAATATACACAAAGTCAACAGCAATCATGAAAAAATACATTGCAACATCTGTGACAGGAAAAGCAATGAAAGCTTACAGCAAGAAATTAGTATTAATTTAAATTAGTTTTATTTTTCCCTCTGTTAATCTGGAAGCATCTTATAAAGAAAATATGCATTCTTTTCCTCATTTTACTGAGGGAGGAAATGAAACATTAAAAAGACCTTCAACACCTCAAAAGCAAATCAGCTGGAAAGTTTGATACCAAGTCATCCGATTCTGTCCCATACTCACCCTCCTAATTAAAACAGCCCTTAACTATCATGGAAAACAAGTTATTTATCTCAGAGCACATTCTTCTGTAAATACCTTTCAGAATATTATAAGGAGACAATTCACTTAGCCTAGCTAAAGCAAAATAAAGTATAAGGAAAAAAACAGCTCCCAAGAGCTTCAGTCTTTTTTCGTATTTTTCACTTTTCTGAAATAAAAGATGACTGAATAAAACATGACCTTTTTGTTTATGTTTAGGGAAAATAAACTTGATTGTTAATATAAGGCAACTCTATTCCTCTTTCCTAGGTTCACCCTACGTATCCCAAACTAGATTCCCAATATTATGCTGCCTGCATATCTCCCACAAACTGATAGTAATAACTTTCACTATCATGAACTTGTCCTTTCTTACCTCCTGGATCCACTTCACCTTTGCCCTATTACTGTCTCAGCCACCGAAGAGCAGTAGCCAGCAGTAGTTTGCCATTATCTTAAAGAGCTAAGCCTACACAACTGGAAAGTACTCAACAGAAGCTGAGTTTTATTACACAAAGGCAATATGGGACAGTGTACATTTTGAGGGAAAAAAAGCTTTATTGGATTGCATAATCCAGTAAAGCAGCTTAATTAACAATCTCATTATGAGTAGCTTAACAAGTTTATGCTGGTACAGCTACACTAAGTGAAAAATGCCTCTGGGGAGTCACAAAGGAGAAGGAAGGATCAAAGAAGCACAACAGAGCCATCAGATGACCACATGCAAGATAATCAAAGAATAACTTACTTACTGAAGCAAGCAAAGTAAAGAAATAGACAACTGATCACTTCTTATTTACCCGTCATTAACATTTTAAGTATCTTGTTATGCTTAAGAGAATTTTGGTCAATTTAGAACTGATATTTCTTGAAGAAATATACAGAAGTTACTTACAGAACCATTGCTTTTTTAGTCAGGAAAATATATCCATATTTTTAATATAGTATTCAAAATGTATTAATATATATCCTGAAGAGAAAATTAACTTTGATTATTTTTCATGTTTTGATGCCTTTTCAGAGAACATCTTCTGTAGTGCAACAATTCTATTATTCTCTGTCATTTGGCATGTTAATATCATTCTCAATGCAAACCCAGCACCCTGTATTTGCAGGATGTAATATAGTACCATTAATGTGAGCAGTCACAGTCACATACACAAGGAATTCAGCATGTTAAGTTTACTGCAGAACAGCAGGTGGAGATCATACACTGCTTCTGGGATATCATGAAGATGCACAAGCAAAAGTTTTTAAAAATACAGTAGCTTTTTTAAAAAAAAAAAGGAAACATGAAGGTCACTGGACATACTCCTATCTAAAGACTGTGATAATGAGAGCAGGCTGAAGAGTAATTCAGCACACCACTGGAAGAAAGAGAAGACCGACCTGTTAAATTAAATCTAAAGTAGTCCAGTTCTTAACTATGTCTCTTTACATTTGAATGCTCACTCACTTGCAAGGAATCTGTTTTGAGCTTTTCTTTGTGCTCTTCAGATGATCGTAACACTTCTCTGTACAGCTCTGCAGCGAATGCATATTCTCCTGAATTAAAAAAAAGAGTAACAAAAACATACACATATTGTGTTGTTTTTTAAATATACAAACACCCATGACTGGCCATCACTTGTTACATACTAAGATGTTTTCAGAAAGGCTGTATAATATCTACTTGTCTTCAAGCAAATCTTCCCTATTCATTCCCTCCTCCCCCCCCAAAAAAAAAACACTGGTAAAAGACAGAGTATTATATTTTACAAAGACTAAAGCGGTTTCCAAATTAAATTTCTTTTGTGACTGCAAGATCTGTAGACTTCTGATCTTAAAATATGTAATCAATCACAGTTGCATAAATCCAAAAAATCTCACATGTTGCACTAAAAAAAACATCATCTACAACTCACTGCAGTGATGCATTACTAAGTTCACACTGCAAATACATTATTCACTCTTCCAGTGAAAACAAGGAAAGTTGTGTCATACTTCAGAAATGCAGAAATGATTGAATACATGCAGGGAGCATAACTACTGATGTAAGCTGCTAACATCACAATCACTTCTCAGAAAATAGATTACATAAATTAAAAAAGAAATACAAAATTGAAGTTGCATATGGAAAAGCAGCAAAAAAAAAAAATTATTTTCTTTTCTCAACTGACAGAAATTTACTTAGCCAGTAACAGTCTTCGAAGACTCTTAAAACTTGGAGAAGTACAGGGACATGAAATGTATAAAGACAGATAACACAGTAAAAGAAAAATGATCTTCCTACATATCTGGAAGCCTAACAACCCTATTTCAACAAGATTTGTTGCTTCTTACATTGAAACAGTTGCCAGTCATAAGGGTGTAGTCCTGCAATATACTATTGCTATTACTAGTAACAGGCCAAAAGCTATGTGCTGAATTTGCAAAGCTTCAAGGTTGAGGCTTGTCAGGCCTCCTTTGAATTTTTCTTGACCTGCCTGCACCTTTTACTTGACTTAGATGTGACAGCAGTTTCTCTAATTCACTAGGTGTCTACGGCTAACTTTTTTTTTTTTTTTTTAAACTTTTATTCATCTTTGTGTGGTACAATCACAACTTTATTTATATAGATAGCAGTAACAAGCAGTTATTCTATGTACAATGAGATATTTACAACTAACACAATGATGTAGTGTAGAGAAATACAGGCCTACTAACAACAGCAGAGGCCTTGAAAAGTAAAGATATAGGATGCAGTGTAGAGGAGTACAGCCATGGGATGCTAAGAGATGGTGCACAGGCTTGGCAGTGAATAAGGAAGCCATGGCGACAAACAACTCACCCACAGTCAAAGAAATGCAGACCTACAGCTGGACAAAACGGGTTTTAGGGGCAACAAAGAGAACAAAGAAATAGTATGTAACATTCATAAAAGGCATCAGGTAGACTAAATTTGGTGTTAACGTGGAACTGCGGACCAATGAAGAAAGAGAAAGGCATAAAAGTGTGCTAGCAAACATAAAAATGACCCTAATTGGATCCTTGAGCGAGAAAGAAGAAACCATCAACACAAACATCTTATTCCTCCTGACAAAGAACTCCAGGTGGTGACAACTAGCCATAGCACTGCCACCACTGGTATGAAGCCACTGATCTCAGGACCCAGAAGGGCAGTAGAAAGGTGAGCATAAAAGCAGGACAAGCAGTAGAAACAAGTAAGCGTGACTATTATTGGTTTTTCACCTGTAACAACTAGATCTGGGCTAATAACAATTAGACCTATAAGATTTCAATTATACTAACAATAAACTCATGGCTTTACTTAAATATAAGGTGCACTTCCTCCTTGCTGATAAAGAAGACTGAGTGTAAGAGTAACACGGGGCGGGGGCAGTTACAGACCAGAACTCTGCCTCAGTCCTGCTTTTGTGTCTCACCAGATGCGATTTTCATCAATCTGCTTTTCAAAAAGGGCCAAACTTGCTTTTTGCTGCTAGTGTATTTTAGAAGCATTTAATCTGTACAGAAATCTTTTTAAGCACTTAATTCTACCTGAAAAAATTGATACCCATGCTGCAATCATAACAAAGTATTTCAAACTTACTAACTACGGACTAGAGAATCTGAATGTAGTCTTTCTGTAAGGCAAGTAACAGAACAGGCAGGTTGCTTGTTCTCTTCTTTGAAGGAAGACTTTAACATGAGCTGGAAAAATTCAAGCAGCTTGCCAACTTTAGAAGACTTGTTACTTAGCAAAGAGGCATTTCTTTCACATTCACGATGAAGTTATTTTAATTTATTATTTTGTTCAGTGGGACATTCAAGATTAATATAATTATTTTTGTTTCCCATTCAAAGCTTTTTTTCCTCCCAATTCAGGCAAAAATCTGCATTGACAGAGCTGTATAGCAGGCAGCAGCAAACAGATTCCACAGTCAGCATAACAGTTTGCACGGCAGGGGGCACAAAGGAAGCCCAGAAAGCAGTACTGATAAAACAAAAGCAGGTTAAACACAATTACACACGTATGACTTCTTTTCTTTTCCCAGTACACATAGATGGTAGAATCAAGAAAGAATAATACTCTAAGACACCTCAAAGATGCTCCAAACTACACCTATTCTTTTCTCCATCATCTAGAATGAATGCTGGGGTTTATTGCAAACACTGTTACATGCCTCTCTAGTTTCCCAGGATTTCACTTCCCCCCACTCCCGAATTCAGAAAAGCCACTGTTTTAACATGGTATCATCTAAACCATAATTAGCCTACTAAAGGGAGTAAAGAACACGCTACAGCCATCCAGTCTTACCTTTAATAATATGGATACCAGCTAAGCCATTAAGAGCACACACCAACTGTCGGTGAGCTTCCTCACACTCCGTTCGACATTTCTTCTGCAGAGATGTCAGCAGTTCCTCCATGGTCATGGTGCTGAAACGGAGACCAAATGGCTCAAATTTGAAACAAAACCACAACACTAGAGAAGTAAAACTGTCATGCTGTGCAGCATGAAAGATTGTTACATGTATCCAACATACTGTGCAAATGTTTGAGATTTATTTACTTATTAAAAAATAGCTGTCAGCTTTTTTCCCAGCTAGAACTTTACCCTAAAGGAGGCTGACATCTCCTAAAAATAGAAAGAAACAGGAAACGAGAGGAAAATTAGAACTAGGTAAAATAATCCTTCACAGGGCAAAATATTTTGCTCCTTCTGTTACAGTAGTGAACTGGAAACAAGCAAAAATAGACCTCCTTTTGCTAGAAGCTGTTCAAACGAAAACAGCTATGAGAGACTACATTTCTCCCCTCTGCTACCAATCTAAACATGCAAAACAGATGAGGTGTCAAGGCAAAGAGGAAAACGTGTGGAATAAGAATAGTGAAGATTAGCAACTATCATTTTAAACTTCTTTTTCTACATTTGTTTGCAGTATTTGTAATTCTTGAGAGGAATTTAGTCAGAAGGGAGTTAGCTTAACACAAAAATACAGGAAACAGAGGTAAGAGGGAGAAGCAAGAACAGAGATGAGAAAGAAGAAAGAAAGAAGCATGAAGGATAGCATGGAGTAAGGCCAAGGGACAAAGAATCCAGGCAGGAAGAAGCCTGATGTGAAGAGACAGGGGAGTAAACTGCAACAACAGTCTACAACAGCTGACCTGAGGCTGCTTCTATGACCAATTACTGCTGTGAGACCAGACACTACACTGCTCCCTGAAACTCTGCTCCTCAGCCTCATTCACCTTCAGGAGAAGCATTTGGTGTTTAGTGCCGTGGAGTAGAGTGAGAGGTGGCATAACTCCTGTGCAGTCTGGGCCCAAGGTGTGCTGGAAGGGCATCCTTGACTAGGCCTTTATTTTACCCTCCTTGCAACACTGTTCCATTTGCAGAAACTGTTCGTTGAGTTTACGCTACACTGTTACACTAGAACAGGCTTTACATCAATATAATCACTATTTACAATTAGCCGAATTGTGCAAAGGTATTGACAAATACACAGAGCACCTGCTGCTCATACTCTGATACTTCCATCACTACTACTTATCTTTCATTTTTAAAACCATCAGCAGTTTCAAGAAAAATTATAAACGCAAAAGGATGTACATATAAAGTATGCAATTTGATATATAGCCTGAGACTACCAATTAAGACAAAAATAAGGTTTTTTTACTCAATGTAACTAGGGGAGCCTAGAAAACTCCATTTTGAGGCTTATATTTTTGCTGAGTAGGTGTTCTCATTTACTGTCTTCACTACACAGGTGGGAAAAGAAGGTCATCTAGCATAGAATATGCTCCAAACTCAGCTTTCTTGTTTCTAGCCAGTTTCTCTTATCCATATGCTCCAGCATCAACCTTCTTGTTTCAGCAAATTTCTCTTCTTCATCAAAGTTTCTAGCACTGAATTTCTTCATTCTTCTCATACATATAACCAAAGCCAGGAGCCACATCTTCTCTCTGTTCTGGGAATGCCCACTGCTGCAGTCAAGCTTGGTTCACAAAAAAGACAGGTAAATAGTGCTGGGAAACAACTTTTCATTGTACATATGATTTTAAGAAAGATTTAATTTTCATCACAAGTTTTTCCACCACAGTTACTATGCAGCTGTCACTCTGCAAGCATTCCACCAAAACCAATGCAGTACCAAGCTGTCCCCAGCATACTCAGCTCAGTTTACACATTTCATTTGTAATCCACTGGCTCATTTTAATGCAAATAATCTTGTATGGACTGGTGGGAATATCGATTTCTCCTGTGTTTGAGTCCTTGTGTCTACACTAGCAGACTGTTAGACAGAAAGTGCTACAGCACAGTGCCTACTATTGGTCCCTGCTGAAGTAGGTGCAAAGTCAGCTACAGCTGCTTAGGCACTGTAGGTGCCCTGTATGAGAAAGGGGAAGGAGCAGGACACAAAACTTCATAAAAGGATAGAGATTGAATAGAATGGATGAACAAGAGCAGGAACAGTAGAAATAACACTGGCAGTGTTAAAAGTTTTAAGTTCTTCCCTACCTGTAGCTTAAAAAAGAAACAACATAGACAGTGCTCCGAGAGTCTGGAATAGAAACAGCCTGTTCTTTCACAACCCCCCTCTAATTCACTGAAAAAATAGCTGCTACATTTCACAAAGAGTGCTAGCAACATGCTTTTTGTCTAACAAAGGCTGAGACCAAACTGGTAACTGGTATTTGGAGGACACTTGTGAGGAAGATGATCTTGAAAGCGTGCAAAAAAAAAAAGGGGGGGGGGGGGAGGGAGCCTCTTGTCTGGGCATCCAAATTCTGATTCGTGATGGCACAAGCCAGTATTGTATGGGGAATTATTA